AGGAGGAAGTGGGAATAAATAGGAAGCAATGCAAACAGTGCATACGGATACCACGCGTTTAGTCTCAGTGCATATTTCTAACACAAGCTTGCTACCCCTGGTTCCTACCAAAGCACGTAGACAAACTCCCAGTGTTCTCTTACAGTGTGGCAGACGGACAATTCCAACCCTTCTACATACCACAGTGGAGGAGGCAGTGCAGGCGCTATCACTGTGTTGGAGCACGTCCTTAACGCTCACAACTTCCCAAGGAAACAACACTTCACTAAGGGACAACTCTGGGACTCGTCTAGAAGCCCAGATCATTTTTCATTACTAGGCTCTACTAACTTTTAGACTCTCTCCATGACAATTTGTGCACAGGCTATTTTGTAAACTCCAATGTCACATGCCAAGTGTTCTTAAGAATTTATTCACTGGGGGGCTAGAAAAATGACTCAGCAATTAAGATCACTTATTGTCCTTGTAGAGGGCCATATTCAGTTCTCGGTGTCCACATGGGAGCTCGTAACCATCTGTAACCCCAGTTCTAGGAAATCTAATTCCCTTTTCTGGCCTTTGATTTTATCAGGCATACATGTGGTATAAATGCATACGTGCAGAGAACACACACACATAAAATACATATAAATCTTTTAAAACAAATAATTACTTTCAAAAATTACTCTTTTTACATGTGTGTATGTGAGCCATAGCATGCAAGTATGCATGTATATATATATACATACATACATACATACATACATACATACATATATATACATATATATATATATATATATACATATGCATGCTTGCATATGGAAGCCACAGGATAACTTGCAGGAGTCAGATGGTCCTTCCTCCTACCACATGGGTTCTAGGGATCAAACTCAGGTACTTGGGGTGGATGGCAAGCACTTTTACTAGCTGAGCCATCTTGTTGGCCCTCATTTATGGTTTACTACATAAACATTTAATAAAAATTTAAACTGCTAAAGTGGATTCTTCTCAATTGCAAGCACTGAATTTAGAGACACAGCACTTTCAGAGAGCTAAAACATGCTTTTCAGCAGCCAGCCTGTGCCTAGCAACCTGCCATCCCTGCATCTATTATTCAACATGGAATAAGTAGTAAAGATTCCCAAATAATTAGGCTAATCAATTATGCAAGGAAGGCCAAGAGCACCCGGGGGAAGAAAGCTTTTCTTCTCAGTAGTCTCCTGAACTCTCAGAAGCTAAGAGGTGAAGGCATAGTTCTGTGAGCTGGTCAGTCAACAGCAAAAACGTAGGTTTTGAGACTGCTGCTAACTTTCACAGCACTAGGCCCCAGTGACTGCTTTTTTCTGCCTATGCTGACAGTCATGGCTGTGAACAAAGCCTGTGAGCAGGCTCATCTGTCATTCAACTGTCATTGTACAATAATAATAGCAGCACCCTTCCTTCTGATGCATCTCTTCATCTCAGGAAGAACACAGTCAAAGAGCCTTAATGGGTTTGACAGTATTACAAGTGACTGCAAGAGCACACACTCAAAGACAGCTAATGGGTCCAACAGTACAGCACCCCATCCAAGTCATCTGTAGCCAGCTTCTGTAGCTGCTGCCTGAAGCAGCTAGCATCGGACAGCTGCTTAAGAAGCCCCATTAAAAACTGGGCTCCCTTCATCTGAACTTCAGTATGAATCTAAATTCCAGGAAGTGGTCCCCAAAATATGTCCTACCTGCCTCACAGAGACATCCCAGCACCCATCTCGCAAGACTTATGTCCCTGTGCCAAGTTCTAAGCAGCATGGCGAAACACAATGTTTTATATATCGCGCAGACTCTCTCTCTCTCTCTCTTTCTCTGTGCATGTGTGTGTATCTGTTTGTCTGAATGACCATAAAGAAGCACTCATATTTCCTACATTTCTAGATGTGAAAAAAGAACTAACTACCTGTTTCTCAGACCATTCTTAGAATCAGATGATTATAGTTTATCTTAAGAGTCCAAAGGAAGATTTCAAATGTATATACACTTCATCATCACCATGGAGATAGTCTTACATAATGGTCCAAGTTTGCCTAGAATGTACTACACAGTCTAGGTTGGCCTCAAACTCACAGCAACCTTCTGAGCAACACCAGCATTGAGCACAGTACATTTAGAAGCTGCCACAAAGCTGTCACTACTGAAACATAGGCAAGATTAGGCAACAAATGAGCAGGAGAGTGAGGAGCCATGGCTCTGTAGCTACTGCAGGGTGGGGGCCACCTGAGGGCAAGTTCAGGTCTGTGAAAAGTTAAGAGCTAAAACAAAGAGTAAGCAATGGCTTCCAAGAATTGGAGAGATGGCCCAAATGAGACCAAAATGGCAGAGTGAAACCTAGTAATAGAGACGGCCACCTTCAGTGTGGTTCCTCCTTATACAGACCAATTCTGGATATGGAGATGGAAGGGGCATCAGATTTATAACCAGAGTCCATGACCCAGTTCTACTACTGCTTGCAACTCTAGTCATATTACACAACTGTTCTTACATCAGTTTCTTCATCTGTAAGGTTAGTTTGTCAATGGGTTTATAATAAGTAGAGACTGTATGTGCAGCAATTAAACAGAATATTCAGCTAAGGAGACAGTGTACACTGATAGTTTATTATTCCTGCACAGTTACATTAATGTAGACAATAGTTCTCAGGCATGTGGTTTCTAATGGGAAAACACCTTACATGTATAGTTGTTGATGATAACAATAGAAAACTACAGAGGCAACATTGGACTTAATATGCTCATCTGTTTCTGGTAACAGCTGACAGTCAATCATGAGAAGTTCAAGGTTGCATCTAAGAGAATTTCAGTTTTACTCTGAACTCTAATGTTGCATTTGCAAGTTGAGCTTTATGCCACACAAATGAAATGGTTTACTCTTGTCCCTCCCTCCCAACCTCCCTCCCTCTCATCTCTGCCTTCCTTCATTTATCACCAGCACTGGCTGCACCATCCTGGAAGTCACATGGTTGAGAGCCATTAGGAAGTGGTCCAAAGATTCTGGTGGCTACTGTGGGGTAGGAAGTGTCTTGAACATGAGAAACATTCAAGAGGATGAGCATACATTGAAGAGCTACTCACAGCTGCATCTCCTCACGTTTGAGTCATCTCTGCCTATATACTGCTCTATGATTCTATCCTCTCATGCAGGATAGAGATTATCATCTCTGGCCACAGACATGGGCAGTGAAGCTCAGCAATTACTACAGGTCACATGCTGTGAAGCGGCACCGCCGCCGCCACACTGTGCTAGGTGCCTGGGTCCCGTGATTGTTCTGAGTTCTCTTTGTTAGTCCAGTCTTTTCTCTGTAAAGATTTATAATGGACAGTCTCACTCAAAAAGCTCAGACTTCTTAAAATATAGTTTTCTTTTGAAATGGCTTTATGTTAATTTGTTAATTTTATAATTGTAGAATATATTTGTGGGAAACCGATGTCCTTAAATGTAGCAGTTTTTATTATGTGGCTTTATTTTTTTATTTTTTGAAACATATGAAGCTGTTTAATTAGGTTGATAGCAAGTTAGAAAACCAGTTTGTGAGGATACATCCCGTTTGTCAGAGAGAACTGAGACCGCAGGTAGCCCTGAAGCTGAGGAACAGCTTTGATCTTTGGCAAAAGCTGCCAGTCCACGGTTTTCTGATCAGCCTTGCGCTGCTCTGTAATCTCGTATTTCTCCTTCTCTGTGTCGAAGATCTCACCCTCCTGGTGCCTGGGTTTGTGTAGCTGCTTCTTCTTGAAGTAGGCATCAGTCAGGTGTTTGGGAACCTTAACTTGACTGATATCAACTTTTGTAGAGGTGGCGATGACAAATTTCTGGTATGTTCTTCGCAGAGGAACTCTGTTGAGGGCAAGAGGTCCTGTCTATGTGGCTTTATTTTAATGTTTCCAATATTTTAAAGATTTCACAAAGATATTTTAAATTGAAAAAACATAAAAATGAATTACACTGACAAATATTTCCTTCCAGGGGCTAATGAAATAATTACTTCATCATCCTCAGAGATAAATTATTACTATAAGATGCTTTTATGGGTGAAATCACAATAGTTTAGGGTCCTATGTGACTTCATTTTTTTAAATAGGCACCTTTGTTTCTTAGAAGTTGAAAACAATAGTCCTATGTGGAATAAATGTACTATATATTAAAGACCTATGGTGTCTGACATGTAACAGGTCAAAGTGGACCAACTATAGAACTCTACAGAGGACAGGCTTTTATTGACCACGGTGGCATTTCTAGCACAGTAGGCAAAATTCAATCAACTTTAGAATCTTCAAAGTTTTACAGTCAGATTTTTCTGGCATTAGTGCTTATAACAATACTCACAAACAAATTCCCAAAGGAGAAGCCAATATCTAAAAGGCAGATTAGGGTCTGGGGTACATGGTTAGTGGCAGAGAGCTTGCCTAGCATGTGTGCCCCTGAGTTAAACTACAGGACCAAGGAGAAGGGGAAATAAGAAGTATCAGCTATGCTTGTTCTGGTAGCTGTCTGTCAGACTTACAGTCTCTCTCTGTCTCCCTGTCTCTCTCTGTCTCTCTCTCTGTCTCTCTCTGTCTCTCTCTCTCTCTCTCTCTCTCTCTCTCTCTCTCACACACACACACACACACACACAGACAGACATACCAATTCCCTTTTCACAGTAATCTCTCATAGCTGGTACATTCTGTGGCAGCAATGTCTTTGTAATAAGTATGGGATCCCTGAGATAGGCATGGTGGCACATGCCTGCAGCCCCAGCACTTTCAGGGCTGAGGAAGGAGGGTGAAGGTTCAAGAACAGTGTGACCAATCAGGGAGACAACAATAACATCCCTGACTAAAATAACTTCAGTTGCCATCTAGTAATAATGCTGTTGTTCATGTCAAAAACGGACTCACAGAGGAATCGTCAGGAGATACAGGAAGAATCTAATCCATTCTAGTTAAAGAAATATGTTGTGTTTTATGTGTTGGCTAGTCTATTCTATCATATGACCACAATACTTACCAAGTGGCAAAAATGCAAGACGGTTTCCAGCCATGGAGAGCTCGTTGAGGCTGGGCAGCTGGCAGAGATGGCGCGGCACACACCATAGCCGATTGCGGTCCACAGTGAGGTACTGCAGAGAAAGGCACAGGTGAAGCCTCTCGGGTAAAGCTAGCAAACGATTGGTAGAAATGTCTAGTGTCTGCAGCTCCTTCAAATCGCCAACCTCTACAACCAAAATCAAAATTAAGATAAATCGCATTCTGATTAACTTAAAAGATAAACTAAAATAAGTCAGTACTGCTACAGTTCAAGTAAATAAAATCAGTTCGCAGGATTATTTCCACAGGTACGATGCTAAAGCTCAGAACTGGGGCTAGACTGCAAGCCATCCAGCCCAGGTAGGGATCCTTCCCTCAGGGCTGCACGTGTGTGCACCTGCGTACATGTGCCGCTCCTGAGTGCATGTGGGGAGACATCAACACCAGCTGTTTTGCTCCATCTGACTCCACCTTAGTTTTTGAGACAGGGTCTCTCCCTGCGCCTGGTGCTCACTGTTGCAGCCCTCTGGCTGGCCTGGGAGCCCGCGGTTCTACCTTTCTCCAATCTCTCACGTCAGGCAAGGGTTACAGATGTGCACCACAGCACCTGGTTCTTTATGGAGATCTGAACCCAGGCCCTCATGCTTCAATCACAAGCAAGCACTTTACTCACTGAGCCATCTGCCCAGCCCCTATCAGGGTTTCCTAAATACTGAAAAGTGTAGGATGGACAAAGGGTGGGGGGGGCACAGAGTGATGAATCTGAGCCAGAAGCCTGATACTGATGAATCCAAGTTTTTTATCTGGTAAGAAAGGAATGATTACTTCAAGGCAGCTGCTTCTGAGACCTGGTTAGCTGACCTTCTACACAGATAGTAGGGGATTTACGAGAGAAGCCACCCAGATAAACACAAGAGAACTATATGGAAAAGCCCTGCACTAAGAAACAGAGTCTTTGAAGACTTAATCTACCTCCTGCTCTCCATCAGTCCCTCCTCACAGGTATCTACAGTTGTAATCTGCTCCAAAGTGACTAAGTACAGCCACGTTCCCGTCATATGTCAGGTTAACATGTGCTACGTGAATATCGGTAAATTCTTTACAGGAAACTAAGTCATTTGCAGGAAGCACTCACTCTGCCCCAAGATGCCAGCATCTACTGCACGGCTCCACTTAAGCACTGGGCAGGACAGGTCTACTCCACCCACCCCTACCTCCTACTTTCCCACCCCCTGTCCAAGGCCATTCCTCTTAGGTTAGGATTTGCAGCACCATCCTGGGCACATAGCAACTCATTTAGGATGTAGATGGGCAACACCGCTTCTGCCAGATAATAACACACTCTTCTCATTGTTACTAACCAGGACTTAGCCACACTACAACTCTCAGACCACACTTAGCTCATACATGCTGGCAAGCTACATTTCTACATTTAAAAGACAGTAAACCATAGCATCCAAATGAAGATAATATGGTCAAGACCATATGTAACCCACAAAGCTGAAATATATTTATTATCTGCACATTTATAGAAAAAAAATGTTCTGCCTTTGCTATAAAATTATTGTTAGGAACATTCTTTAAAAGTTTTATCATACTATTGTCATGACTAAAATATGTACACATACTTGTGCTCAGGAGTCAGAAGGCAATCTGAGAACAGATTCTCTTTGCCACCATGTAGGTTCTGGGCACCCAGCTCCAGTCATTAGGCCTGGCAACAAAAGCATTTACCTTCTGAGCCATCTCTCTGGCCCTAGGAACATTATTAACAGCTAATTTTTTATATGAAAGTACTGTGGAATCAAATACAGTAACTCCAAGCCAATTTTTAATACTGACAAACTTGTCCTAGGATGCTCATGATTTATTGTTCAATTTCAAATATTCATTTAAAGATAAGTAGGCATGATTCTGCATCAATGGGAGTTTGGTTCCATCTGAACTTAATTGATATAATGAAACTCAAATTCACGCTTGGGCTCACATCTTAGCCGTGATATAGATGATGAAGTCCATCTTTGTATCTACTTCACAGAATAAACTGACTGCTTGTGTAGGGTGTAATGATGAGGGAGTTGGGGAACTGGTGCTTTTAAAGTGAGTAGAAAAAGAAAGAAAAAACCAAAAACAACAGGGAAGCAATGTTTTGGGCCTAACTTTACACAGTGACTACAGGACTGACCGGACAGCCTCGTGGGCCGAGTGACAAGGGAATGAATGACACAGTAGGCAGTGCCCTTGGAGCCACCGGTTCATACAGGAAGGTATGACAGGAGCTCAGAGGGGGCGGAGTCACATGAAGAGCTCAGGCTTTTGGAAAGGGTTCTGGGGATGAAGCCTGGAAAGGCAGAAAGGAAAGAGGATATTGCATTCCCATCAGGGGGAGGAGTGTGCCCATGCCCAGCAAGTACCCGTGAACAAGGAGAGGAGCAGGAAAGAAGGCCAAGGCAGAGGGCCTGGAAGGGGGAAGGGATGCCCTATGGATAGCACTGGACATCGGTATGGAGCACGGCTATGAAGTCCTCTTTGGAAGCTCCAAGGGAGCCACAAACAGCACAGGGTAGAAGAGGATGAGGGTGTGCATCATGACAAAAGACAAAGTACCAAGGAATTTCAGGAAGACCCAGAGACATCTTAAGAACAGCAGACAACACAGTAAGAAAACGTCAAGGTCAAGTGTAACCTTCTGCTACCCTCTAGAGCAGTGGTTCTCAACCTTCCTAACAGTGTGACCCATAATACATACAGTTCCTCATCTTGTGCTGACCTGTAGCCATAAAATTATTTCATTTCTACTTCATAACTGTAATTTTACTACTGTTATGAATACTAGTGTAAATATATGAAAAGCAGGATAGCCGATATTTGGCCCCCAAAGGAGGTAAAGAACCACTGCACTAGGCCATCATTCAAGATGTGGGATGCAATTCCAAAGATTTGTTTTCTTGGAAAAGGACATATTAATAGGAATTATTAAAAATAAATCAAGCTGACCTGACCTCATTTGACACCTCAGAAACAAAGGCAAAAACATTGTTTTTAATATGCATGGTGTATTATCCAGGTTTGAGCGTATGCTGTACCACTGAGCAGGTCGCACATTCCTAAGGACTGAAATTGTACAAAGTAAGTGCCCTGACCAAACGAGGTCAAAGGCCCAAGAAAAGAGCTCCACAGTAGATCTGAAAAGGTAGATAAAAGAACCAGTGACAGACAATGGGAATTATACGCTCACAGAGACAAAAATGAACGGAACTTCAGAGACCTGCAGGCCAGAAAGACGTTACAAAAACACTTGAAACCCCAATAAGAAAAGAATCAGGAAAAGGGGGCAGAAAAAGTCTCGAAATCATAGTTAAATTTTAATCTAAAGATCCAAGCAGCTCAGTAAAGACGAAAGAAAAAAAAAATTCAAAGTGAGGGCTGGAGAGAAGGCTAAGAAGACAGCATCCATCACTGAGCAACCCTGACAGACTGAATCAAGTCTCAGTTCAACAAGAATGCACATCAGGGCACACTCCTGTCTCTGCACTCTCTTGGCCCTCCCCCCAATAAAAAATTAAACCTAAAAAAGAAGAAACAAAGGACAAAAACATTTGAGTTATATGAATATGAAAGGCATGGATGTGAATACAACCATAAGTAAATATATTAAATGCAAGCAGGCCTGGGTGGTGGTGGCACACACCTTGAAGGCCAGCACTTGGGAAGCAAAGGCAGGTGGATCTCTGTGATTTCAAGGCCAGCCTGGTCTAAAAAGCAAATCCTAGGATAGCCAAGGCTATCACAGAGAAGTCCTGTTTTGAAAAACCAAAGACAAAAAGTGAAATTGACTAGAGAGCCCAATCAAATGTCAAAGGCTGACAGGCTACCTTTTAAAAAGATTCGACATCTGTAAGAAACACACTTAAGAGTCAAAGATACCACTAGGTGTCAAGTCCAAGGAGGAAAAACCACAGCAGCCTTGTTTAATAACCACGAGAAACAAGGTTATTTTACGTCATAAGAACAGGCAGGAAGACATGTGTTACCACAAGAGACAGAGAAATAGTTCGTAATCATAAAGTAGTCAGTAATTCAGGAAGAACAATAATTACAAGTATATGCACAACCAATAAAAGCTCCAAATGAGAGGGTGGGGGGGGGCAAGTCGTGGTCCTGCCTCTGCAATGAGGTGATGATGAGAAAGACAGAGTTGGCTTAGCTAAGTGGCAAACCTTAGATGAGGGAGCAGGCGAGGGGGCGGGGTGGACACCCGTGAATTGCTAAAACGGAACAAGGATGGCAAGAACAAGTTTACAGAAATTACCGTTTCCTTCAGTAGTGGACGGACAAGCTCTGGCAGATGCATACAATCCACTACTACTCAGAAATAAAAGGGAACAATAACAGCACAGCTGAATCTCACAGTCACCAACTGGAGGTGCAAACCACACTCAAGTGTTGATAACGTAAGTGATGTACCCAAATGCATTTACTACTCTGACAACTTTAAAGCTCTTCATTGTTAAGTCACCTTGAAATCAACACAGTACTAGGGACAGTTACAAGAGCTTCTCTGGGGACAGCCTTCTCCCCTCTCCAGCTGGGTCTGACCACAACTCTTTGACCCTCCTCCCTTCCTTGAAGGTAGCCATCACTCTGTAAGCCTCTCTTCCTTAATGTCCCTTGAACAATCCTAACTTCACAACTGTTGGTCACTGTTTACTTTTAAGCTAAATATACAATTCCTTAAAACTTTTCAGCCACTTGTATCTTAAAGATGCCTTTGATGCTGCTACACAGTTATTACTGAGACCAAGCATAAAATAACACCCCGGTACAAATTTCAAAGAAAAACAGTAAGTCCCCTTTAAATCATTACTCCACGGATGGACACTGACCGAACCTAGAATTTAAATGGAATGGGAAGGAAGCCACCCACTCCAGGCCAACCCAGTGGCTGGCCACACAGAGTCAATAACAAAGCTTGCTATTTTCAAGTCTGGCTTTTTCCGGTGCCACTAAAAACAGCTCTAACTTAAGCTCCAATGCACACTGGGCTGAGGAGAACATGCAAAGAAATAAGAGCCAACACTTCAACACTGGATTCTTCCTCTACTCAGCACATTTCCCTCTTATCCACTCACATCTTTTGGTGTGGCTTTGAAAGGTTATTTCCTTGGCTATTTAGATACAAACTGG